AAAGAACTTTAAAATACAAAGAACAACATAACTTCTAATAGAATAATGCTATAACTAAAATCGGAGACCCATCTTTACACTTATAATCTATCAAATGGAGCTACTGACTACACTAATGGGTAAAATTAAAGTAATAAAAGGATATGCCCCCATGAACTTCAGTAAAACATACCAGCACCAGGAGTATGATTAGCATGTACCATAGTATTAAGTTTGTCCGTGGCTAAGTATATCTGAATGAAATCATTATCTCTATTCTTTTTCAATACACTGTCCTGGGCCCTGAATATGCAACTTTATCCCTCCAAAATTTCATGGTCACTGTTTAAACAGGCATTCCCTAAAAGGAGACTCAAGAGATTAGTAAGGTTCTAAACTGATTTTCCATATTTGTCAAAGATAGTCCTAAAGAAAAATAAATTTAAGAAGATAGTCCTAAAGATACGAAGCAACAAGGGCCTTTTGTTGTAGGCAGCCAAGTGAGAGAGACCACTGAAAAACAGACTAGAAATACATCTGTTTGTGGATAACTCAGTGGTCGTAATCTGTCATAATCCTCTTGCCCTGCAGTATCAAAAAGCCCAAGAGTGTATGGCTCTCCACCAATCATTACTGTGACTGCATAGTTGTCAAAAACAGTTGGTACATATTCAGATGGAAATTTGTTTGTTGTATAGGATATCAGGAGACATGTTTTACCAACAGCACCGTCGCCCACAACAACGCACTTAATTGTCTGCATTGTGGAAATAGTTTAAATATTTCAAATTTAACGTTCACCTCAGCTCCTCCACCCGGGCGTTGGCCTAGGCAGCCAAGTTAGATAGAAATATTATAGGCAGTCAGACAGGGCCAAGCCCTCAAAGGAGACAGCACAAAAGACAAGATATCTTGCAACTCTAGGAGGGACAGATGCTCCCGCCATTGGCCAGACCTAAAGACCAAAGAGCAAACAAATGCAAACCTCCCTAAAGACAGGCATCCGAGATTGATCATCAACCTGAGGGAGACCAAGAATCATTAATCTGACTACTGCCGGATGGCTACCTGATAAAGTCCTGTTCTACATTCATGCCCCCTTGCTACGTGACTCACTTCCCCATTTGGTCCTGGATTTAATCAATTTTACCTGAGCAATGGTGCTTGTAATCTCACTGGGTGTCCATAGTTTTGTCCAACCTCCTGCCCACCTAAGTGAGTTCCCATTCTCTCCACCTTAGTCCCGCATGGTTTTAAGTCCCTGGAAGAGACAGCTTCCCGGGGACAACACACTCGGGCCCACCTCCTGTCCTCTCTTGGACAGGAGCTTTCTTTCCCTCAATAAATATATTCTGCTCATAACCTCCGTTTGTTCCTAAAATTCATTCTTCAGTTTCAGAGAACACGAACTAGACCAGGTCAGGTCGGGAGATGATTTTTCCCTATGTCATTTGGAGGTTCCCTATATCGTTTGGAGGTCACCCACCAGAGACCAGTTTTTCTCCAAAAGCCTTTATCCTTGCTATTGGCATGTTACAGAGCAAAGCACAATTGTTTTTTTTTTTTTTAGCTTTTAAGTTATCCAGGAGTAATACAATACTAGACAATTTATCTCTAGTAAATCCACCCTTATCTTCCTTCCTACTGACTGAGTTGCAGGCTCACATCACATTCTCTGCAAAGGCTGCAAGTTTGTCTCTAACCTCCCCACTCTCATTCTACAGTATTCTCAAAGGAAACTTTCTTATATGCAGCAATGAATTTCCTCAGATCCTAAAGGGACAGGGCACGGCTGAAGTGACTACATTTCAAACAAGTTCATAAAACATGCTAACTCTGCTGGTCAGAAGAAACTTGAGCATCAATGTGTTATCAGATTAAGTCCCAGCAAGAACCTCTCATAAGAACTAGTTAGTATCATAATAATACTAAGACAGATTTTGCTGTCTTCTCTGTATTGGCATTTGTATCAATGGTTAAAAAGCAACAGTCTGAATAGAGTGATTTGTTCTAATGGGGTTTGTAGATAGGATATCATGTCCGCATCTTGTACAGCAATTAACCACTGGGAGGAATGTATGCAATGTGTTAATTATTGAAACTGTCCTACCAATTTGATTTGAAACTGTCTCATTGCTATTTGTTTATCAATAAAAATATGGAAAAAAAAAAAAAAAAACAGTGATCACACTGCCAGTTCTAGTACTAATCAGAAGAGAAGGACTACTGTATTAGCAGTTCATGAATTGTTTTAAAAGTCAGTTTTACTTCCGAATGTCTTTAATGCAGTGGCAACCTTTTCCAGACAGAATATTGTTGTGATGCCCAATTTGGACTCAAAATTATGATCTTCCTGTTCATTCAGCCTCCCAAGTAGCTGTGAATACAGCCACACATACTACAGATGACCACAGTAAAAATTAATTTGATTAAATATTTGCTGAACATTGATCCCAGAGTTCACCCATACTAAGTACTTCTAATGACTTCTGAAGTATATGTAATCCTGAGGAGAAGCACTTGTGCTACAGTTTAGGTTGCAAATTCTACTAGCTGGTTTTTTTCATGGTATACCATATTTATTGGGAAAAAATGATAAATTATGGTTATTCTGGTTTGGGTACTTGGGAGACATTTTCTTGAACATGAATAAAGTGAGCCCATTACTATAAGGAAAACAACTGACTGTTTGCTGACAATCATAAAAACTGACCTTTAAAGTTAAAATTAGAATTTTAGAAAAATCAGTATCCATCACTAAGAACTTAACAGCTCACCAAAACTTAAAAAGACATTACTCTTATAATTGGGTAAAAAAAAAAAGTACATTTGTATCTTTATTTTGTATTTCATTCTGTGCTACACAGTTTGGGTATGTTTTGTCTTCCAAAGGTTCCTTTACTGGAAGTTTGCTGGACCTGTATGAAGTGGGAACTAGTAGAAGTGACTGTGTTATAACTAACCTAATAAAAGGATCAATGTTGGTCTTGTGTAGTGAATTAGGTCTCACAGGAGTGGATTAGCTCCCAACAGAGTAGTCTGTGGTAAAACAGAGCAGACTATGACAAGCATGGTGCCTTTCTGATTTCTTTTGCTTCCTCTATCACCATGGGACCACTCATAACTGCTTTCGGTATATGAGGCCTTAAACTCACTATCTAGCCCAGACTGGTCTCAACTCAGCAGTCCTCTTACCTCAGTATCCTAAGTGCTGAGATAACAGGCATGCACTGTCATATCCAGTCTTGGTATCATTTGTGTTAGATAAATACAGCATATGTTAATTATAAGAAAAAATGACATGCTACTTTATTATTACTCAAAGTGGATAATGAGGGTGCATCTGGAGGTACTGCAGATCTGTTTCTTGCTTCAACAGTGTTTGGCCGGAACAGACCTGGGGACTCCCACTTTCATCTTCCCATCTACCTTCCAGGTACAAATCTCAGAACCATCTTCTTGCCTATCTCCTCCTTCCAGGACTGGACAACACTGTTTTTTTGTGGGTAGCTCCTTACTCCTTACTCTGTGGGTAGCAACAGTCGTGTACTCTTTCAAGACATGCAGAAACCATCTGAAGATAAGTAAGGTAAAACTTTGGATGCCATGGAAGCTGCCCTGGCCCTGGAGAAGAACCTTAACCAAGCTCTTCTGGACCTTCATGCCTTGGGCTCTGCCAAGACTGACCCCCATATCTGTGATTTTCTGAAGAACCACTTCCTAGGTGAGGGGAAGCTCATCAAGAAGACAGATGACCACCTCACCATCCTCCGCAGGCTAGAAAGCCCCCAGGCTGGGCTAGATGAGTACCTCTTTGAAAGGCTCACCCTTAAGCATGACTAGGAGGTCACAGAACCTAGCAGTCTCTCGAGAGGCTCTGGCATTACCTGGTATCAAGGCTTTGACCTAACCCTCTCCCTCCAGCCACTAGGCAGCTTTCTCACCTTTCTGGAGCCCCCTCCCAAATCTTGGACCAAGAGAAAATAAACACTTTTGCAGGAAAAAAAAAAAGAGTGGATAATGAATACAAATATCTAACAAAAAAGAGGCACAACCTATCATCCTGATATTTGAAGGCTGGAGCCAAGTTTTGTACTGCCATTAATGGAAATAGGTGGTGTTAAACATTCTTCCTTTTTGCCTTCCATTTTCAGGATGGTGACAAAATGAGAGCAGTACCTGATTAGTTTCTAAAGGATGAGCAGATTCAGTGAATACTAGTCAGGGGTATAAAAAGATTAAAAACCAAGTAATCAATTGAAAGCAGGATCTTCAACTGTGACATCTGTACACCACTGCCTATAGCAACATGATTCATGACAGCCAAAAAGAACAATCAACTATGAACAAAATATGGTATTATATACACAATGCAGCAGAATATTATTTACCTCTAAAAAGGAAGGAAATTCTGATACATGCAACAATATGAATAAACCTTGCAGACACTATGGTAAATGAAATAAACCAGTAACAAAACATAAATACCTTATGTTTGAACTTATATGAAGGACCTACAATAATCACATTCATAGAGAATGACTCTCACTAGAAAGGTGGGTATCAAGGGATGAGGGAAGAATGGTGAGTTAGTGTTTAGTAAATATAGAGTGTCCATTTGTGAGATGGCCTATCAATAACAGATTGAAAATAAATCCTCCTCAAATTGGAATGATGTCTTTTTATCATGAACACTGTAATACAGGCCTAAGAGCAACAAAAGCAATGCTGATTTCTATATTCTGGCCCAAACCTGTTTCTGGTAATTACAGCTGATTTTCAAAACATTACTATGATCACTAAAAAACCCATTCCTGCTTTTAAGAGACTATAACCTTAAACTGAATAACAAATGTGTCTAACTGAATTACTATCTGAAGGACTGGAGATCATTAAACAAATTT